TCCTAACCAGCTATTTTAAGTGAATAAGGGCAATTTCCCTCCTCTATAAACAATGCCTTAAGCCTTTTCTTGCAAGGAAACTTCATAATTTGCATTGAGGTAACTTTTGTTTTTTAAAAAACAGAAAATATGAAGTAATATATGGCTGTGCCTGGGAATTTGCACATAATAATTCAAACAGAACTGAAGAGTTATTATAAAATAATAAAAAACCAAGCTTGCATAAAACTAACAGCGGTTTTGATAATTCAAACTTATTGGTGAAGCAAATCAAATAAATAGCCTCAGACTCTGATTGACAAGACAGTGAAACCAGGCAACATACTTAATAAATCAAGTGTCAAGTATGTAAATAGGGCAGATAACCAAATAAAGAGGGTCATGGAAATTATATAGGACAATACTGTAAAATGTTATTAGTTACAGTATTAGAACTGTGCTTTATTCTTTTTTGGTACCTTTGCCAACTGCACTCATCTTGTTGGTTTGACCAGTCACAGCTGTAGAGAATGCTGTAGCCGAGGAAAGAGATTTGTTTTGTGCAACACTGTTAGGTGCTAAGGAAGGAGCTCGGGGTGGATCCTTAGGGTTAGGAAGGAGTCCACCTGATCAGCATAAGTGAAAGAGCATCTACCTTGCATCCTTGGGATTTGCTTCAACCTTGTCGACAATTACTAATACCCACAAAGTACCAGGTCCTCTGCTGGATCCTAAGGATGCAAAGAAGGCCCAGACCTGTCCTGCAAGAGCTCACAGCATGCAGGGTGGGTGGACATGTCAACTAGTAATTACGTACCAAGTAAAGTACGGTATTAGAGGTAGATACAAGGTGCTTTAGACACTGAGGTTCAGCAGAAGGAATTCCACCTGAGAGAGGAGCATGGGTGGCAGAGAAAGCATGAATTCTGGACTCAGGTAGACCCTGGGTCCAATTCTGCTATCATTACTTCATGATCTGTAAGGACAAGTTAGCGACCTCTAAGTTTTGGTTTCCTCACCTGCAAACTGCGGGTGCTATCACTGAATTCACCAAGGTTGTCACTAGCTCACAGGCCGCACTTGTGTGAATCACAAGAAAGCCACGCTTCAAGTGGGACTGGACCCAACCTCCGAGGGCTTGCTTGGCTCTGTGAGCGGGATGCAGAACGTCAGCTGCACTTTTCACCTAAAGCACCTGCCACATCTGTATGTGGTGGCCCTGGACCTCGAGGGTGAATGTTCATAAAGAACTTGGACCGTCAGCATCATCAGTAACAGATACTCATTAGTTTGCTACGTGGCTGTCACTCACACACCAGCTTGTCTCTCTTGCTCCCTATGCAGATTAGCCAAGGTTTTATAGGAATGTGGCTATTTCAGTTGCGTATTGAAGGATATGCCACTTTTTAAGCAAGGAAGAACAATTTACATGTCTTGTGACTGGCAAGAAATCATGGCTGAAGGAGAGGAAGGTGTCATGGAGAAATACTGGCCAAGGGGGATGTCCCATACTTGAGACTGCAATAGGAGTCAATTTCAAGAGGGACACAGTCATTGCTTTTTTATATACACTGCCTAGAGTGTGGGAAATGTGTGGGATATTCTCATAGTCTGGGATATGGTATTGGGATTTAGCAGACAGGCTTTTTTTTTTTTTTTTGGTAGACCTAGGGATTTGGGATTTACTGGAGTCAACAGTGAAGTAGCACAGACAGATGGGATTCCTCAGGAAAGCACAGTGGTGAGCGAGGCCAGCACCGAACTCCCTGGCACGATGAATTCTACTGTCTGGTCAGCTACCCTTTACTGTTCTCACCAATTTCACACCAATTCCCCTTTTTGCCCTTCCTTCTTTCTACTGCGGCTAGCTTCTTCCTCATTTTTGTTCGTAACAGAGAATTCTATGCTAGTGGGAGCATAAGTTTACTGAAGCAGATACAGTTAAGTCACTAAAGATAACAGCAGTCCCTGAGACTGGAAAAACCTGTCATCTCATGAGCACCTGTTACCCTAATACAACTACTGTATTTTCCTATAGGTGTTTTACTGCATTAAACATGTCCGAATTGCCTGCATTTATAAGCACAAACTTTTATATAAAAGGCATGCATTTGTAGGTACTTCCAGATCTTGCTGTTTTGCCAGTGGACTGGAACTTCAGTATCCTCCTTATTTGCATAGAACTGACTCTAAATCTAAAGTTTGATTATATATAAAAAAGGCAAGTCAGACTACTGACAAAGACTATCTGAAACTATTAGAAAGAGTACAAAGCGTAAACTGGGAGAAATCTGTGACGATCCTATTCAGGAAGGAATTTAAAACAAAATAAAACAACCACCCCAACAACTTTTATTACAGAAAATTTCAAACTTTTACAAAAATAAAGAGAATATTACAGGGAACTCCCACTTTGCTTAAACAAATTAGCACCCATGGCCAACCTTATTTCAACTACAGTCCTCCTTTATTTTTATTTTTTTAAAGATTTTATTTATTTATTGGACAGAGAGAGAGACAGCGAGAGAGGGGAACACAAGCAGGGGGGAGTGGGAGAGGGAGAAGCAGGCTTCCTGCGGAGCAGGGAGCCTGATGCGGGGCTCGATCCCAGGACCCTGGGATCATGACCTGAGCCGAAGGCAGACGCTTAATGACTGAGCCACCCAGGCGCCCCTAAAGTCCTCCTTTAAAAGTGAGTTATTTTGGGGCGCCTGGGTGGCTCAGTTGGTGAAGTGTCTGCCTTTGGCTCAGGTCATGATCTCAGGGTCCTGGGATCGAGCCCCGCATCGGGCTCCCTGCTCCGCGGGAAGCCTGCTTTTCCCTCTGCTGCTTGTGCTCTCTCTCCCTAACTCTCTCTCTCTCAAATAAGTAAAAAAAAAAAAATCTTTTAAAAAAAGAAATAAATAAAAGTGAGTTATTTTTAAATGTTCCTGCAAATGAAGAACAATGTAAGATAACTAAGCTCAATCCAGAAAAGGCGTTCTCCCCAGGGTGCTCTGTTCTATAGCTCTGACACTGGGAGCTCTTAGGGTAGGTCAGTAAGTCTGTTCATTAGGCAGACTTCTCTTTCTGTAGGAAACAGCCATTTAAAAATGGAGGCAAGGAAGATTTTAAAAAAGATCATCTTTCAGGATTTGATATCTAGTACATTTAGAATGACAAAAATGAAAAAAAATATAACATGCTCTTAATCCAAGTTCATAGTTGAGGTTTTGTTTTTCTGTAAGAAAAAAATTTCCATGATTCTAATTTATCTGAATATCCTCCCTGTCACTGAGATCTGAAGTTCACTGTATTGTCCTATTCTTGGGCATTTTGCAACACCCAAGATACCTGAATCACCATCTGTTCTGTGGAAGTGTGACTTATTAGTGGCCACTGTCTTCAGCACTTATTTTGCTAAATAAAAAGCTCTAATAATTCAGTGAGAAAGAGTCCATCATAATTGGTCATTAACTTTCTAGTGCTTTACAATGGCTTATTTCTCTATAGCTTGGTATTACTAACACTATCTCAATTGAAGACACGTAGGAAAATTACCTTGTTAAGACAGGTATCAGGCAAAAATACATTCATTTAGAAGACCTGAGCTCCAGGTTGTTGAGAGTGATGATTTTTGTCCTTTCTACAACTGAATGGAGGATTTTCTTCTACTTATTTGAAATACAGTATTTTAAAGGTTCCTTACAGATTTCTACCTCCAAATATAGGTAACAAGAATATTCATTTCTTACAGAAATGTAATAGAATGAAAGATTAATTGGCAAGCCTGTCTTCAGTCCACGGTATAGACTAAACACTCTCCTGATGATCCTCTTAAGATCTTGATCAACGCTGAATTCCTTCTGAACAGAAGTTTAGATAAATTACGAAATTTCTTTTTCAAAAGCCTGTAGCCGGAAGTATACTTGATTCTGTGTGTTAATACACATTAGGAGCACAACATCATCACCTGATACATGCCAAATACTTGACAGCAATACAAACAAATTTATAAGGCAGCACTGAATTAGAAAAGAGAGAATACATAGCATGGGCAGGAGATGTAAAAAGCAAGCCAAGGGGTGTTTTAGGCACTTCAAAGGAGGAATTCCTGTCAGGGGTGGACCCATCTACAACATCCGGGGTGTTCTGCTTTCAGATAACCTGCATCCATTTCCAACTCAATTAACAAAGGGCAGGTTTGTTATAGAGAGGGACAGATTGCTTATTTCCTGACAGCTTACATACCGAACCTCCGGGATATGTACATTTCTTTTATGTTGAAAGATTCACTCGCCTAACTGCCATCTATGTGCTTTTATGAGGTAAAGTTAAACAAATATGGGCATTTGGGGGGTTTGTGGAGACTTACGTTATGGGAGGCTCTACTCCCTTTCCAAGAAAAACAAAAGTGGGAGAACTTACTTATATGAACTATGAAACGTGGCATGAGGAGAAGTCGGGACATAAAAGACAGCACGCCATGTCAACTTCCTGGTTTTGAGAACTATTATAGTTATGTAAGGCGTTACTATTGAGGAAGGGGGGTGATGTGTATACTGGGCTTCTCTGTACTGTTTTTCCATGAGTGTTAATTTCAAAATAAAAGCTTAATGAAAGGGGGGGGCACATATTTCATGACATTTAAACAACAACACGGCTCAGAGAACACTCATGGCTATTAGGAGAGGGGCACCAGAGAAAGGCGCGTCACTGAACGTAACTTCGAAGTCAGACGACAGACGGTTTTGTGCTTTTGCTCTGCTACTTAGGAGATGTGTGCCACAGGCAAGTACGTTCCTTAAATTCTAAGCCTGAGCTCCTTCGTCTATAAAAGGAGGATACCATCCCACTCATGAGGTGATGATGACTTCCATCCCCCAAGAGTTTCACTGTAAAAGGGAATGTGCTCCTTCTCCTCCCACAGATCAGACCGCTGGTGATTCCTGCTGCAGACAAACTCTCAGGGGGTTGATTTTTTTCCCCGACAGGAGAAGAATATGTTTAGATGCTCGTCATCAAGAGAAGAGCTTACTTACCAACTTCATCCTGAATCTCCTCGGCCACTGCAGGCACATTGTAAAGCAGGGAGAGGGACTGGTTCATGCGCTCGTAAATCACACGGAGGTGCGTCATCACCTGCCATAAAGGGGCGACAGCTCCAGGTAAGTCATCTTTGCAGCAGGGAAAAGCTGTTTTCCTTACCGAAGGCCACAGACAGATACAGACTTCCAAAATAAAATAGAAAAAACGCTGCTGGAACGTGTGACCTGAAAGGTCATCCTCATTTTCTTGTTCTCCCATTCTCTGTTCTCGAACTTTAGAGCTGCTTTAAACTTCCCATTGTATTGCACGCTTGCAGCCATAATTACAAAGCCATCTGAAAAGAGCATTTCTGATCCTAATATTTAGGCTCCCTAAATAACCCCCAATGCTCTAAATATATTTCTGTGCAAATTTTTCAAAGGATAGGAACATATTTCAATTTGACTGGAAATTCCTTTCATTCTATCTATTCATCCATCCATCCATCCACCTATCTTTTTATTTAAAATTCTCCAATTCAAGGAAATGTAAAATTTCAGATTGCCAGAGGTAGATCTCACTTGTCAACCTTTGGGGATGGAAATAAAACACATTGATTACAGGGCTTCATTTAGGCTCACATTATATCCAAACACTGGAGTAGCAGAGGAGTTTATGATCGCCTGTCACAAGTTAGTTGAACCAATTTTAGAGGTTTTGGCTGACACAAATTTTGTCTTCAGTCATCAGAGTTTTGAAGGGTTCCTAAAGAACTGGCAGCAGTAGGCACTAAGATGTTTATATTTCTCATTATTTTCATAAATCAGAAAATGTCAAACCACATGTTGGTTGAAGACAAGCCTTTGGAATTTACCGGGTACTAAAAAACTCTTGCTATAAAGGTAAAGTGCCCACAAGCACGCTGGGAATACCTACAGATCTACCTCAAGGGGCAAGCCCACTGGACTGTCCAGGCTGCACATGACGACCACATTCTGTGTTTACCTGGGACCGGATCTGAGCGGCTTTCTTTGGATCCACCATGCGTACGTGCTCAAAATGCTTCAGGGTGTGCTGCCTGTCCTTCTGTTCAGCACGAACATACTTCTTTAGCATGTTGAACACATGACGAGGCTGTTGCGGAAACAAACAAACAAACAAAAAAAACCTTTCAGTTTTGCGCAAAATATTACCTGTCCCAGGGGCTACGTGTCAGAGGTCCCAGTAACTCATTCCATAACGTGGAAGGACTGTGAGTCACCTTTTTGCAATTCTCCCACTGCTTTCTGAATGGGTAATTACTTAGTTCATTGGCCACTTTTCATTTCGACAAGAGCATTTAGCATTTGACATACGACTGTCCTTAAGCAACATTTTCTTTTTAAATGGCAGTGTTCTGCTATAGAGAGGTGATTTCGGATCTGTCATATTCAAGTTCGGTCCTTCCCCTTTTCCCACCCAAACACATAGGAGCATATACAAGACTACATTTCTACACGCATAGTCTTCATGGATATCTCAATGGTAATGCTGCACAAATAATCGCACCACCCGTGAGCATATAAAAATATAATAATCAAAATGAGAAAAGTAATAGACAACTTAACCATCACTCATTTGTAGGCCAAGGAATAAATACTAAGCTTTAAGACACAGTACACTTTCCTAGGAGGAAGGCCAATGTGAAACTGTAGTTATTTTACTTTGAAATTTAATTAAATTCTTTCCATGCCATCAGATTCTAATTCAGCAACAATTTTCTTCAGTGCTTCTATTTTTTTTTCTAATTGGTTCTATTTCATTTTTATTCTAGTCTTTCTTGAAAACATTCATCCTAATAAAAAAGGACAAAAGCTCCTTTGTCTTAAATGTTTCTATTGCTTCATGTATTCTATTATGTGATTTTGTGAAATGATTTCCAAAAGCACACATTTCTTCGTCATTAAAACAAGCAAACAAAACCCTATGAAAGTTCATGTCAGGAATAGAATTTTGGCCATTTGGGCAAACCCAGTTATTATTAACTAGGTCATGGACACCTTGAAAGCCAGTTGGAAGGTGAAGAATTTATTTCCAGAGATGGTATGTTGGGGGTAGGGTGAAAGCTGTAGTATTTTATGGGATGTCCCTCCCCTTCTCCTTTGGTTAACTTAAGGGTCACCTCCCTGACATCCCAGGTAGAAGAGTTATCCTTTTTTTTGGTGCTCCCATGAAAAGCTATGTTTATCCCCATTATTGCACTGAACACAATCTATTAAATTATTTGTTTCTGACTTCTTTCTTCAACTGTGAGACCCTTAAGGGCCAGATTTGGTCTTTATCAGGAATCACGATACCCAGTGCCTGACTCATAGAGGGTGACTTGCTTAATTTATGCTTTCCACAGGTCACATTCCTATACTTAAGAAAGCAAATACCCACAGGTAAAAGAAAATAAACCTGTGCTCATCCGCTTTATTCCTTTCACCCTACAAGAAATGTGCTTCCCCATAATTTCACCAAAAAAGGCAGATATTGTGGCTGGAAACCTAGCTTTTGGCAACACATCATTGTAATTCTCATTTGTACTCTGATATCTAGTTGAATCTACAAATCAGAGAATGATCTTTTAAATCCTAAGAGAAGAAAAGTTAAAGAGATAACAGTTGACAAGCTACATCAACTGTATCTATTTATTTAAAAGACGACTGGTTTAAAGGCAGGCTATTATTTAAAGTGATGAATACCTTATATGCAGGATTGTGCAGTCAGGAAATTACATACCCCTGATCCTTGTTATTCGACACCAAGGCCTCTAAAATTCTCCTTCTAGTGCTATTACAATGATACCTCCAAGGTCGGAGGTATCTAGTCATGATGTCCCTGCTCCTGACTGGCTTTATGTGCTTTCTTAGTTGCCCTATTTCACTTTTTTCCCTTGAAAAGGCTTCACTGTTTTGAGGAAAACAGATTTTTTTTCTTTAAAGAGTTCACATAAGCAAAAATACTCCAATTCAACATAAGGATTGCTTTCATCCTATCTATCTGCAGCCAGTCACCTATGAATGTTCCTCTAAGGCATTCCGTCCTGAAATGATGGTCACGGCCGGCCGAGTGTGTGAGCCAGAATATAAAGGCTCCACACTGGCCTTGGCATTACTGCATTAAATCTAAATCTCAAATTAGAGAATGGGGAGGTAATTTCTGATAACATCTGGGTCTCCCCTTTTTTCTTCCACTATCACCAAAAACACATACACTCCCACTTGGAAATTACTACTGTTAACATCAATTTTATTTTTTATTTATTTTTAGATTTTTATTTATTTGAAACAGAGAGAGATAGTGAGAGAGTGAGCACAAGCAGGGAGTGAGGCAGGCAGAGGGAGAAGCAGGCTCCCGGCTGAGCAGGGAGCCCGACGCGGGGCTTGATCCCAGGGCCCTGGGATCATGACCTGAGCCGAAGGCAGAGGCTTAACCGACTGAGCCACCCAGGTACCCCTGTTAACATCAATTTTAAAATGAACATGACAGTCCCCAAATTATCTAGGCCTCAATTTTCTCTTCTGTGCAATTCAGATAACAGTATTTTTCATATAGAGCATACGGAGTATTAAAAATATTCTGTGATGGGGCACCTGGGTGGCTCAGTCGGTTGAGCGTCTGACTTCAGCTCAGGTCATGATCTCAGGGTCCTGGGATCAAGCTCTGCATGGGGGGGGGGTCCTCTGCTCAGCAGGGAGTCTGTTTCCTCCTCTCCCTCTGCCCTCCAACTACCCCCCCCTCCATGCTCTGTGTTTTTCTCTCTCAAATAAATGAATAAAATCTTAAAAAAAAAAAAAATTCTGTTAGCTACTCAGGGCAATGCTCAGTTCACAGCAGGAACACAATACACATTTATTTCTTCCACTCAGTCCTGGCCTTCAATGCCCACCCATTTCTTTCCTCTAGGCAACAGCAGTTCCACACTTACTGGCGGCTTATAGAATGAGACCATGTGCTTTATGCATAGAAACTCACCAAATTTTCCCATCAACCCTGTGACTGGGGTTTTATTGTAGATAAAACAAAGCACAAAGAAGCTAAGCTTGAGGGCTATGTGGCTAGTTACACAGCTAGTTACAGAGCTGGTCCTTGGGTACAGTGAGAACAGGTAATCCAACTCCGACTCCCAAGCCTGGTCTCTCGATCGCTGTGATCCTGATTTTCAAAGAAACTCTAACATGGACCAAGCCGAAGACAATTCCAAAAAGTAACTTACAGAGTTGAAAACAAAGAAATAATTGAGCGGTTAGAAACGAGTCTGTTCTAGGAGTCCTTGCCTGAGTGTCTAGTGCTTATAAGCTCAGATAATATTCTCTGGGGACATGATGACACCTGCTTTTTTCACTGTGTAGAAGGTCATCCAGATTTAGCTTATTCACTCTCTCAGTTGCTGTCCTTGGTTTCTGGCACTCTACTCTGCTTTAGCGACTGTGTCAGATGTGGGGAGGTGAAATAGCAAGATAGGACTGTCCTTGGTCAATGTGTTTAGGATTACTAGAAAATGAGGAAAGGTATCATAGTTAAAAGTTAGGCTTTTGCGACATGTATGGATTCTAGCTCTAAATCCACCCTTCTCATCTATTAAGATGGATAATTAAGTGGTGAATGTGGTTCACATGTTTAAGACTGCTTATTTAATACCAATATTTCCTTCATTTCAGAAATATATTCCTAACTTCCTGCATCAAATCCCGAGAGCTTGACAATGAAATGGTAGCACACCAGGATCTCGTGATTCCCCAAGCCTCCGTATCTCTCTACCAGGGAACAAAGCTCCTGCCAGGATAATGAGCCCTAAGAGCCCATTGTAAGCTATGATCTCATCAGTGTTTGTATGAGCTCAGATACACATTGTGTGTGTGTCTAATACAAACATCAGCCTTTTTCTTCCTAATGTCTATGCCTCGGGACATGAGATAATTCAGGAACACATTACCATGCCCCTCAATAAGTGAATTACATGGTTCTGCTTGGTTGATTTATTCATGCAAACACATTTCTAAGAATCATGCTTAGAAATGAAAAAAAAAAAAAAAGATTAGCTCTTATGGAGTAGGCACATAAATCATACCAAATAAAATGGCGGTTATGTCTACACCTCAGCAACAAATACTATATTTAGGTAACAAAGAAAAACAAGTAATTGTTTTTAGCACTTTTAGCCAGAATACAAAATTACCAAGGCTTAAAACTAGTTATTTCTAGTGGTGTCCCGTATCCATGTACGATAGAATAACAGGGAATCTCTTAGGGCGTTTTATTTCATTATGCTAGGGCAAAGGTAAGTTTCTTAAAATTTTAATTAAAAAACACAGTAATATTCACAAAAGACTAAGAGAAGAAAACATACCTGGGATCTCTATAGAAATGTATTCTCTTAAAGTAAATGTATTACTATTGTCACAAACAGTTAAGACAAGACTGTTCATGGTATTAGAAAAATGAGCGTAAGAATTCAGTGGCTCAAGCACATTGATAGTAAGCAGAGTTTAAGAAACATGTTTTTAACCTCAATGCGTATAATTTCAATCATTCTCAAGTCTTTAAAACTTCTGTAACGAGTAATAATGTTTTTTTTTTCTGCCAAATTTCCCCTATTTTACAATTTAGATAGTGTATGTATTCATACTACAATGTGATTATACTGGCATTGGATGGCTAATCTTATTATTAAAATTTATAGCACAGAACAGAGAAAATAAAAGGAAAAGATCTGCCCCAGGGGGACTAATTACATCCAATCCTTTTTTATTATCACTATTGTTTCTGAGTGTTTAGCCTATAATAACAAAGTATCTATTTGCATCTGATATAACACTTTTCAATTGGCACTAAAATTTCTTCACTATTCACACTGCATTTAGAAAAATCATTTCAAAAAGAATTTCTTAAAGGATTTAGGCTGGGCATTACTAAAATGATTAGACTTCTTACTAAAATGGATTGGACTTAACCTAAAATAGAAGATTTACCTTTTGGAACATTAACTGTTTCTTTCTTGGAACACGAGCATAGGATATCTCCAGGCGTTAAACAGTTCCTGGCACAATTTGGTTGCTTTTTAAAAATGTTTGTTAATTAAATGAATGAATAACCTAGAGCTGAATGTG